TTTATAGTTGTTGCGGACTAGAATATACACGGAGATAGAGTTAGAATTTTTTGTCTCAGCGTTGTATAGATATCCAGCACACAAACATAAGAGAAATAAAACACCAGTATTTTTACATGGAAAGCTCCAGAAAGCCAAAATTCATGTGGCCACACCAAATTGAAAGAATTTCACTAGTATTTACTTGAGTTACAATAGGCTGACTCATCCTTAAAATTTAGGACGGTCAGATTGCAATAATCAACTCTTGGAGGTCATATGGAACTCCGGCGTCACTTGGAAGTCTAGCAGAACTCTAGCGTCACTTGGAAGTCGGGCAAAACTCTGGCGTCACTTGGAAGTAGGGTCGAACTCTGGCGTCACTTGGAAGTCGTGTAGAACTCTATCGTCACTTGAAAGTCGGGCGGAACTCTGGCATCTCTTGAAAGTAGGGCAGAACTCCGGCATCACTTGAAAGTCAGATGGAACTCCAATGATGGTCGGGGATGAGTTTCTTCTCTCCTCTTCTTCTCTTCTCTTCTCTTCTCTTCTCTTCTCTTCTTATTCTTACTTAGGTCCCCTCTTAAGAGAAATGAAAGACTATTTATAGTTTTCTGAGAGTGGCATGACCCGTAAATAGGAGGATCAATGACAAATGTGGAGTGGCTTGGATGGACGACCGATATTAAATCCCTTGATCGTGGACGGTTTATCAGGCATTTGAAGGCTCTAATGATATCAGAATTTGACCATCTTGGGCTCGTTGGATTCGTCTCGTCGAGTCGCTCATTTCGACTATAAGCATGCCATATTTGGAAAACCGTTTGGTAATCCAAATCGTGGCTTGAACCTTCCAATAGTGTTTCGAGTCTTTGATTCGGACTCATTTGTGATCAGATTGAGTTGAATTTGGTGTTGTTGGGTTGTATTTCCGAGACGTTCAGTTCGACTATAAGTTTGCTGAAATCGGAGTTCAGATGGTCCCAGATTTAATTTTTGACGTTTTCAACTATATTTTGCTTTAAGATTCATGCATGATCAAGACAATTTTTTGATTATATATCAATAGTTGAACTAAATATTCGTTGAAACGAAAACAATGATATAAAAGATAATCTAATATGAGAGCCAAAAAAAGTTGTATAGGACAGTTTTTAATCGCAGTTTATTTGTTGTTAAAAAAAATATTAGAAAAGTGCTATAACAAGTTGTAAAAAAAATCTCAAATGAAGTTTGAAGAAGCCCAAATTAGTAGCTTGAAGTTTAATCAGCAATTTTGAGATATTAATTAGAGGATCAGATGGCTTTTGAACCTTACATGCTTTTAGTTAAATCGAGTTGCCCAACAAGACCAATTTAACAAGACCAAAATAACTATGTCAAACATGTTCGATCAATTTAAGCCTTATCCCAGTGCACATTCCAATACTTGATTATAGCGCTCATCCGATTGTCATATTCCGTCTTTCATTATCATGTCTTTACTCACACAATCTCTAATATAACTACATAAGACCAATAAATACTCCAATTTTGAGGAAAAAATGTCTAATATAACTTCGAATATATAGTGAATTATTTTAACTAGGCTAGGACCTATGTTTTTTTATCTTTTTAGATTTTTTTTGTGTAATAACTCGAGTGTCTTTTGTATTCACTTCTTTTTTTTTTTTGTACAAATGTTTAAGTAAAACTATGACATAAAACTGTATATCTATACAAAATTTTAGCATGTAATAGTTTGATTTTGTATTTAAGAAAAATTCTTAGCATAATGTAAATATTTCTTCAATGGCTGACAACAAACACATCATAATCTAGTTTGTGAAGGTCAATCAAGCCTCACTTCAGAAAATGGTATTCATAGTTTGAAAGTCCTCAAGTCAAAACTTTTAATTCTTAGAGGAGGCTATATATCAATAAGCTCTATCAAAAAATGATAGAGTTCTTCGACAACAAAATACAATAGGATAAATTCAATTGCACTAATTAAGTGACTCATCATCAAGCTATAACTCCCCCTCCACCACAATTATAGCAATGACATTTTAATATTTCCGCTTCAACCCATCCTTTATGTGTGGCTTGGTTGACCTATAATCTTCCACCAATCCTATTGAGCTTAAATCAATTATGCCTTATTAATATCTCTCATGATATTATAAAAGATGAGTTGTTGATCATTGTTCAAGAAGAATTCTCTTTTGAGATAAATGAACCAACTTCCTTATTATTAAATCTTGCCAAGAATCTTCAATAGTAACTAAAGCAATTATTTAACATCATATTCCAAGGATTCAAATTATCTATAATTGATCTATATGATGAGAACTAATATCTTTACATGTACATCAGATATTATACGATCATCATGCACATTCAATAAGTTTTTGATATAATTCTCTATCAAGTCTTCACCACAACTCTTAAGCATTAAGCTCATACCTAATTCTAGCTCTTTAATAGTACTATTTACAACATTGGCCATTAAGCTAGACTTTTCATCAAATATCTCATCATCAACTAAAGAATCATCAATGACTCCTCTCATCTTTCTAGGATTTGCCAAAAAGAATGAAAGACTTATAAGTAGTACTTTTAAAGATCTCTTCTTAAGCACATTGAATTCCGTGAGAAAATCCAAAGTTACTAAAAGATGTTTTTCTTAAAGCTCTTCACCTTGATTTTTTTTTTGCTCATCATTGATGCAAAAGACTGTCATCTCTTATATTGATCTTATTCATCAAATAAAAACATAAATAATTATTAGCAAGGTCATCGATATTCATTGAAAGTAATTTGAATAATTCACAAGCAAATATAAGAAGTTGCATCAAAAAATTCATCAATCTCTTCAATGAATAAGGCAAGAGCAATCAAGAGATTAGAGTCTCCCTTCTCTTGGATAACGAGTGATATTTTCCTAATAATTCAAGAAAGTATAATGATATTAACTTAGCAAGAAAAAAATCAAACAAGAAAATATTAAATGTATGACAATTGAGATATGTCGGTCGCTCTCTCCTAATCATTCCTTCAAGTAGCCTTTCTTGATTTAGCAAATATCATTGTCTTCATTTGGCCCTTCAAAACCCCTAGCTTTCAAGTCTCCCAAATTTCAATCCTTCATTTCTTCGTTTATTTTAATCAAGCATTAATGCTTTATACTTAATTAGCATTTTAATATCATCATATTATTTATTAAAATTCACCTGTCTTTATAATTTTTGAGTCATTACAATTACAATTCAGTCAAAAAATACAATAATAATTTTATCATATAAATATCTAATTATCAGACAGCACAACATAACATGATAAAATAATAAATAAATAAATAAAGATAAAATAATAAATAACAAAGTACAGCGCAATATAACACCGTCAACCATGACATAAATTATTAATAAGAAAAGTATTTAAAAATACTCATCTTATTTAAGCTATGAGGAGTAATTGTGCTTCAGCAGAAGCTCAGGTGGCCTATAGGCCTTTGTCCGTAATTTAAAGCTTTTTTTTTATATAGGCAGCTTATGTGATTTTGTTAGTTGAGAGTTTTGATTATTAATTTTTAATTTAAAATTTATGTATATAATGTGTATACATTTATCATAACTGACTCAAACCCCCCCCCCCTCCCGGTGGGAAAAAAGTTTTTTTTTGGGTAACTTCATTTTTGTTTTACTTTTAAAAAATTTATGTAAAAAAATTATGTAAGAAAATCATCACAAATGAAATCTAGGAGCCTATACGAGGAAAAATTATTGCGTCCTCCCACCTGACGTAGAGATGCGTCCTCCCATCGCTAAAAAACTTGGTTTTTGCTCGGTATTGCTAGGTATTATTTGATAATAACGAGGAATATCATTATGTGAAGATCAAAACCGAGTTATACCGAGCAATACCGAGCACATACCGAGTTTTCTATAGGAAAAACTAGATATTTTTTTGTATTACTCGGTATTGGTCTTCACATGATGATATTCCTCGTTATTGTTTGGTTTTTTTTATAGGCAGCTTATGTGATTTTGTTAGTTGAGAGTTTTCATTATTAATTTTTAATTTAAAATTTATGTATATAATGTGTATTCATTTATCATAACTGACTCAACTCACAACCCGGCGGCAAAAAAGTTTTTTTTGGGTCACTTCATTTTTTTTTTCTACTTTTAAAAAATTTATGTAAAAAAACTATGTAAGAAAATCATAACAAATGAAATCTAGGAGCCTATACGAGAGGGCTATAACATTTTATAAAATTGATAATAAAATTACTTCACTTGTTTAGTTGAAAAAATAAATTACCATAAAATTTTCTTTAAAAAAATGGGTAGATAACAAGATTTAGTTTGAGATGATTTTTTTATTGGTTCTTAAAACAACTTTCTAATTCAATAATTAAACTTTTTTACTAAAAAACTGTTTAAGAAGCAGCAAGAAAATCATCCCAAACAAAACCAAAGTCTTTGACTTCGTTTGGAACGACATTCTTTAATTTTTATGCTAAAAAACTGCTTTAAAAAGCTGCAAAAAAACCGTCCCGAAACGAAACCTTCCTTTAGAACAACTTTTTTATTATTTTCTAAATTAACTTTTTAGTACTAAATTTATAATTAAAATTATGTTTGCTACTTATTAAGCAAAGGCGCCATAAAACCATAGACCCTAAGGCTTCCTGTGGAACAATTTACTAACCGCATTCTAATTTTTTTTATTACAAAATTTCTAATTAAAAAAAAAACATAAAAAACTGCTTTATAAAAAAAGTAAGGAAACTGTCCAAAAACGAAACCTCTTAAACTTTCAATGCAGAGAAGAGCAAAATTACTCAATCAAACCCATCCAATAACACCTGAATTGAGCTTATCATTCCCACAAAGCTATCAAATGTAATAGAAATATCAAAGGGTTTACTTTTACACAGACAAACTTATGAACCCACCGTAATCAAGCTTCAATAATTGAGCTTAAGTAGTCTTTCAATCGATCGGAAAAACTATGCAATATTTGGAATGAATACGGATGAATAAAGTAATTATTTATTCCTCTATTTATTTAAAAGGGCGGCGATATCATCTTCCGAACAGGAATCCTCGCCGTGGGAGTACAAGAAAGGGAGAAAAAAAAAGCCTCACAGCCTCTAAAAAGAGACACCAAAACTTCACCCGCAAATTAACGCACAAACGCACACACACTCACACAGACATCGAGATTCTCAGTAGGTTTCTATTGCCGGAAACTCTTCGGTGAAAAATCCTGAAGAGTTTCGTCAGACTAAGAGATTCAGAAGCCTCGGCCGGCGATCACGGAAGCTATCTTCCATAGTCGTAACAGACTCCTCAGAATTCATAGACGGGGATAATGGCCGACGTTTATCTTCCCTGACGGCGGCGGAAGGGGACTGCGGCGTAAGACAAAGGTCGAGATCGCACGGTGGCTGCGATCGATCTCCGACGATAGGTACCTTTCGACGCTTAGCCGCGGAGAAGGAAGGGGGCCATCCGTTTCGCGGTTTGGCGTAGATTTCCCCGTCTCCGTCCGCCTCCGTAAATACGTTTCCAGCATGGGTTCCGGTGAGCTCCGGCAGCGGACAGAGTGTCCCACCACGGAGCACCTTTTCAACCGCTGCCTGGCAGAGATTCCAATTCCTTGTCGCCAAAAGCCCTACAGCTCCGTTCACCGGATTAATAGTCCTCCCACAAGCTTCATATAAAAGAGATTGAAACAGCGCTGCAACATAGAACGTAGTCAGAATCGATCGAAGCAGATCTGCGATAAAGATTTGTTCGGATTAGGGTTTTACCAGGACGCTGCGGCTCGGGGACGGCGGAGATGAAAGACATGAGTCCGGCCCGGCCGAAAAACTTAGCTACGAAGACGGTGGCGTGACCCTGAGCCTCAGGGCTCTCTATCCACTGAAGACATGGCCGTAGAACGCAGGATTCGCTGCATCCCTTTCGAAGAACTCGACACCCGTTGCAGCTCATCGCCGATCGCTCATCCAAAACAAATTCCAATCCAATCACTCTTATTTCTGGTTTAATCGACTATTTCTGTCCTTATCAAGGGGAGCCAGCAAGCAAGCGAAGAAGAAAGCAAAACGAAGAGAAGACGAAGGAGAAGGGGCGAATGGAGGGGGTATAAATGGAGGACGGTGTCGTGGGTTACAGCTAACTATAGAGTAATTAAGTTGGGTTAAGAGAAGAAGTGGAGTGTGAACAGTGCAATTAAGATAATTAATTAAGGATTAGGGATATAATTAAGCTAATTAATGAGCTCCAAGGTGATGGGGGAGAGAGAAGGGCGGCTCCGTGTCTCCGCAGCTTGGTCCCCATCTCGAGCCTCTCGACCTTACAAGTTCTCGGGCGGCAGTGCCGTCTCGGAACTTCTTACGAAGACAGCCCTCATAAATTCTATATTATAACTTAGCTTGCTCGAGGGTTTCGCCTGCGTTTTTTTTTTTTTTCTTTTTGGTGGCGAAATGTTTTGGCCGATTATTCCGCTGGCGATTTTCTTTAGGACGTTGCAATTTTGTTTATTTAAAAATTATGCCGTTAAATTTTAGATAATACTATAAAATTATAATATTTATTTATTTTATGTATATTAATATTTCAATGAGCTATCATGGCATTTACATAAGATTTGTTAGTTTATAATTTTTATTTGATGTTAGTTATATAAATTAATTTTTTGAAATGTGTAATTTTTTTTTTAATAATTTTCATTGAATCCTATCCTCCTTTTAGCTTTAATGTAAGAGAGAAGAGAATTAAGGATTTTGGTGGATGTTGAGAGGCAATGGAAGGTAAAAACGATAGCATATCCTCCCTTTAGCTTTAAATGGCAAGAGGAGAGTCAAGAGCCAAAAAAATTATGAGAGGAGGCAAGAGGATCGCGTGATTATTGTGATTGGAGAGAGAGAGGTCGCACGAGGGACGTTCGGCTTTGGTTTGGTAGTTCGCATGCGAAGAGGGGAGCGGGAGGGTTGGTTGGCTCTCACGTGGGTAAGAACCCAGATCGGTTGGGTCCTATTATTACAAAAGCAAAAAAAAAAACTTATGCATTGTCAAGAGAAATCTCTTAAAGGTCAAGATGAACTAAAAAATATCTTAGAAAGAACTAAGTGACTCCATGATTGAGAAGAATATTATTTGGCACTTAATATGCTAGCATAACAACATTAATTCAAAAAAGGGCACCAAAATCTATGATGTATCTTCATATTGTGTTATCATGATGTCATATAGTTCATTTTGTGATATAGTTATAGTCATATATTGCAATTAATTATTTTAAGCTTTGGACTAACATTTAATGTCTATTCAGATAAATATTATAGGACAATTGAGAGCTGTAAAGATTCAAAGTTTGGATTTAAGATATCTTTATGCATAGAGCAGAGAGTTTTATATATTATGTAATAAGACTTATGAAATCAGAAAGCTAGAGAGAACATAATCAAGAAAGCACCATCTTCCTCTTTAATATAGTATTGCCTAGTTCTTTCATTAATGAAACTTGAATATTTATTTTCCTAAATTTATAATACATACTCATAATCTCGTTGAGTGCCCATGTACTTAACATGCATAACAATTTTAATTTAGTGTCCTATGGATGGTAACATATTACTACCTCGATTCTATTTTACAAAATAATGACGTGCCTTGTAGCTAATTAAATAAATCATCAATTCTAATTAATAGATATTGATTCTTAATTATCTCCTTATTATAGTTGAAATAAATAATAAATATTCAAAATGTACTATATTTCTTCTTCATAAATAATAAAAGAACATTCAAAGATGACATATAAGAGAAGAGTTGTTTGCTTGATATAAATATTTAGAAGCTTATTTCTTATAGAAGTATTAATTTATCTTGTTAAAATTTTTTCATTAGTATATGTCATATGCTACAAATCATTTTCTTTCATTAATTTATGAAGATGTTGATATAATATTTTAGACATAAACTATTAATGATAAATATCTTCATAGTTATATTTTCTGTCTCATCTGGAATATTATAATATATAAATATCTACCTTAATAACTGATAATCAACTCAAAAGAAAAGCCCTAAGTAAATGATTCTGTCGTTTGGGCTTGTGCATGCGATTCGTGAGAGAGGAGTGAAGGGAAAACGAAACATGCATGCTCTACAGGCAAATGAGGAAATGAAGCACCGAAGAGGAAAACATGCCAATATATAAAAAAAATGGAATTTTTCGTAAATTTATGATGATTACATTCTTTTAATTAATAAGAATAGCAATTATCATTTTTTTTCATATTCGTATCACAACTCATTATATGATAATGATTGGAGTACTTCATTTGATTGAATAACAAAAAATATTTGTCATAAAGATTCATAATTGTATTAGAGTAGACTTATTTTTTAAGATTTTTTTTAATTCATTAAAAAATAAATTAATTTCCTAAGAAACTCCTCTTACAATTTCACATAAAAAATGTAAGAAAAAAATTTAAAATAAAATACAAATAATCAAAATATAATATTTAATTAAAAATATTAAAACTTTAAGAAAATAATAATGTCATTTTATAGAATAAAATAATTATTTTATTTTATTCATACGTACTCATCAAGTTAATAATAAATTATCCAATTTTTAAAATTTTTTAGGGGGGGACCCCCCTCCCCCGCCTATACTTTGAGGATTAAAATCTAGATACTAAGAATATAAATCTTAGTGTTGATATCGGGAGTCAGAGTTGGACTCCATGACATGTATCAATTTATATCTTATGATATGTATCAACAATGTGAATAATGATAAAACATAGATACTATTCTGCAAAGGTTTCCGGGCATTTAGTTCCCTTTTGTTCTTTACTCAGCTTGAGGATTCATGGCAGTTTCTTTGTTGCAGTTTGCTATTTTTTGGCAGGTTGGAAGCTCTTCACCTGGGACTGGTTTTTACGTCCCAATTTTGGCTGTTATTTTCTATTCAGACCTGGGAAGATGTTTTTTGAGATTTTAGCCTGTTTTGTGTTTTGGCTAAGTTTGGTAGTAGAGGTGGCCTTCTACATATCATTTCTCGGGTATACAATGATGACAACACAAGGCATTGGATGGGAAATCTGGACATCCAGACTATGATGACCAAGGCCAGCCAATTTGAGCCTTGGATAGCCCTTGGGGCAACTAGGTTCTTCAGTGGGATGATTTCTCTGCTATCTGGAAGAGTTGTGACGGCCTCGGCTTCTTCTTTTCATTTGGGTCCCTCTCGGTTTTCACTGGCAACCGCTGCTCCAGCTCTGGCTTTCTCGTGATCAATGAGGGCTGGTCTTTATTCTGAGTCTTTGCATTGTCGGTCTTTTTCCTCCTTATGCCTTTGTTGTCATGTCTTTGTGTAAATTTTGATAGTTCCTGTTACTTATTTTCCTTTCACAGGTTTTGTAATTTGAACTTTTTATTTATTTAATGGGCTTTTGCCCCGGGTTTACCAAAAAAAAAAAAAAGTAAGCGTCAACCTTGATGTTAATGGCATGCATCAAGCTTATAGGCAATGATATGCATCGATGACATGCATCTACCATATAGGTGATGGTGTGCATCGTAAACATTTATTAGCTTTATAAGTGATGTTGTGTATCAATGTTATTGGAAATACAATTGGAGAGATGTAATAGTTAGGAGATGGTGTTGGGGGACCGAAATCTATTTGGTCTAGAGACCATAGTCAAGATAGTAGTACTCTGGTCATGGCGGTCAAGAGGTCATGGTTGGGCGACAATAATTAAGTGATCATAGTTGAGAAAAAATAAATTGAATAACATATGTTGGTCAATGACAATTGGGTGACAACGATTATTGGCAATGATCATCAACCAAAAGCTCCCTCCAAGTGTTTTATTTGGGCTCGCTTAGACTCAGATCAGATTGATTTTGGTTTCATTGGACTCATTTCATTATGATATTTAATTCAGATATAAGTTTGCAAAAATTGGCGTTTAGTTGGTTTTGAAATAAAAAAATTCCAATCCAAAGATCACATTGAGATCTGTGGTTGATTGGGTGATTTTTTTTTTTTTTGTGACAATTCAATGTATATAATCAACTATTTTATTTTATGACACCCTCCTTTATTGCACTTGGTAGACAACACTATTGTATTATATGGCTTAGATTATGATGGCTTTATGGCTAATGCCATGACCAAATTAAAGATTCCTTCAGGCTTGCAATGGTAATGCCATGACTACTTTAAAGGTTCCTTCAGCTTTCAATGAATTTGTAGATACATTGCAAGTTTTGCAATGAAATTGCAATGAATTGATGATGCATGAAAGTTGTTGCAAATCCTCCGCAAACTGATCTACAGGCACTAAGAGGTATGACTTGATTGTTTGTGAGGGTTGGGGTGGTTTGAGGTTTTGTATTAAGGGTTCGTTTGGGACTTCTTTTTTATTGCTTTATAAATCAGTTTTTTAGTTCAAAAATTTCTTTAACTATAAATTTTTCTACTAAAAAGTTGCTTTAGAAAGCATTAAGAAAGCTATACCAAACAAAGTTTAAGTTAGCGATTATAAAGTTATTTGTTTATTTTTTATACATCATCCATCCAATCAAGCATAAATCTTGATGTAATATTTGAATTAGAATTTTATTATTAAATTTAGGATCATTAGAACTTTGATTTTAGCTAACTTACAATAGAACTAAATATATCCATGAAACAAACCCAACAATCTCAAGAATGATTTGATCCTCTATTTCAAATGAGCTTGAGTCAAGCATTTGAAGAAACTTCATGGCATTAACTGAACTATGATTTTCGAATTTTGCAGGCTTATAATTAAAACAAGCACCTCGTTTAGAGAAATTCAATGAGCTTATGATAGCTCAATTCTGAGATCATTAAGCACTTAGATGACAAAATGATTTATGGTCAAAGGAATCAACACGAGGCGCCATCCAATGGAGTGTTCAGTGCTAGCAATCACACTAGTCTAGCTATTGTCACGCAAGCTTTGCCACTCATACACCACCGTCTAATTGTCACCGTCATCCTTAAAGCATGCATATTGCAATACTAAATTAAAAACTAAAAAAGTGTACAAAAGTTTTTTTCGTTACTTCTAAGAATTTTGTATGGCTTTCTTAATGCTTTTTAAAATAGTATTTTAATACAAAAAAATAAAATTTTTGTACTAAAAAATTACTAAACTACAAAATTTTGTACTAAATAGTTACTTTAGAAAGTAATAAGAAAGTCATCCCAAAAGAAAGAGGCTTTTTTATTGCTCCTTAAAGAAGTGCTTTAGTATA